CTCACAAAAAAGGGAGCAGACTCTATATACATGCCCTAGAACATGTGGGGCTAAGGCCACCTTTTTCTGTAAAACAAAGGCTTTGGCAAGAGGGGCAAATTCAGGCATAATTCTCTGAGAGGAAGTGCAAAAAAGGAATTTACAAAGCCAATACAATAAGAAAGAAAAAAATTCCCTATCAGTCACAGGGCCCTGTCTTTTATTCTCAGCCCTAGCAAAATCACTATAAGATGAGTTAAGGGAAGGGAGAGAGAAAGGGACTGTTAAATCAGGATAATCTGGTCCAAAAGGAGTGCCAATAGGGGATAATCCCAGTAAATGGCAAATATCAAGAACAGTAGGGGCCATCATCCCACATCTAAATTGGAAAAAGTTAAAAACTGGATTCCAAAAACATAGAGCAGCGGGAACAAGGAAAGGGTCTTCTGAAATAGTTACCCTAGACAGTCTGAGAGCATCGAGAAGGCAGAGTTCTTGAAGGTCCAGGGTCCTAGCAGGAATAACCCGATCATACCACTCTTGCCACTCTGGTCTCACCGTGGGCCAGCATCGGTGGGGGCGATTCATCCTCCAGTTCCTCCAGTCAAGACCACCTTCATAGAGAAGACATTGGTTTTCCAGTCGGGGATACAGGGCTGGGAGTTCAGTGAGGACTTCTTTGAATATGGGCCCGAGCACATAGTATGACTGCACATGGCGACGAGGGACAAAGATGCGTCCATCAATAGCGTTCTTCTCCCCAGCTTTGTACTTTTCGCATTCCGCGTCAATAATTCTCTTCAGGGCCACAGATGGACTCATACGCTCTACGACTAATACTGAAGGAGAAGCCATTAACGGTATGTTTTTCTTCGGGAAAGGAAGTGGAGAGAAGTCGACGATTGGTAATAAAAGGAGTTTGTGCGATTAGAAGAGCAAGTGATTTCAGAACACAAAACAAAAGGGTTTTTAAAGTCCTCGTATTTGAAAATATATTACATGAGTTGTTAAGTATTAAAAGTACGAGTACAAAAGCTTCCTTCAACATTGATGCTTTTGGAGGGAAAAACAAAGCCCGGTTGTTAAGACTAGCTTCGAAATAAGATATTTTGCTTCGAAGCCGAGTCAAACGGCTTCGAAAACAGGGAAGCCAGCTTCGAAGTGGGTTGCCCTACCCAGGAAATAAAAATACTCGAGTATTTTAAAAAGGGCTTAAAGACCTGTTTTTGGATTTTTTAAACAAAGATAATATCCTTCGAAGCAAAAATTGAGTTTCTTTAACACAGGTAATGTCCTTCGAAGCAAAACCTGAGTTTTTTTTTTTTACAAAGGTAATGTCCTTCGAAGCAAAACTTGAGTTTCTTCAAGGATAGGATTTGGTTCGAAACATCAAAAGCAACGATGACAATGACTAGATATTGGCTGTGGTCGAAACAGGTTTTGAATGTAAGATTGTTAGATTCGAAGCACTGTTTCCAATTGAAAATCAGCCAAAACTCAACTCCACAAATTGGAAAGATTACGATTGGCTCATTTTGTGTTTTATTTAAAACAATTAAGTCCAAATTTAAAGGATAAAATTGTTCGAAGTTCAGAGTTGACTTTTAAAACACAAGTAAAAATACAAATGAAGACAGAGTCAAACAAAGACAAATTTTGTTCATATTAAGATCAGAGTGATTACATCAGCTGACCCTATCTCGGTATGAACTCGAGTTCATAAAAATAAGGAATGGAATAAATAACAAGATCATGAAATTTGGTCCAACAATGGTCAATGAACTTTTGTTCCTTCTTTATTCTATCTTCTAAATTTTCTACCATCGGCTGCATGAGTTGATGTGCTCTCACTTCATAGTAGAGCTCTTCAGCCTTTATTTCGAAGGCCACTTCTCTTAACCCTTGTTCCAATTCATCAATGTCTAAATCATCCCAATAGGCAGAGTCTTTATTCTTGAAATCATTGAATTCTTCCATAAAGTTCTCTGCTTCGTATTGAGTATGAATTCGAAGGGACGAAAGCTGGTCTAACGATTGTGTAGTAGCCATAGAATTACGATGCCAGTAAAGGAGTAATGGAAGTTGGTCTAGAAACATGTGAAGTTCTGCCTGAGCAAGGGGATTAAGGACATGACCCCTAGTCAGAATATCACAAACCCATTGAAGGTTTGTGAGAGGGACTTCATCCTCGAGTACATTGAAAGGCAAGTGAGAAAAGGCTGCAAGCAGGAGTAGAGCCTGTTTCCGCTCAGCTGAGGTAGGAGGAGGTGGAGGTTTAAAAGGGGGAAAGACTTTCTTCATGGATAGAGCAATCTTTAGTTTCTCTGTCCAGGAAAGAATTGGTGGGGGAGAAGGTGTGCATACTTTAACTTTGGGGGACGAAGAAGAAGATGTGGACGCTTCTGTTTCCGGGGATGATACGGGGGCAGAAGGAACAAAGGCATTAATATAATCAAGCCAATCAGAAGAACAGAGCTTCGCCTTCCGGGCTAAGAATGATGGGTTATACCCTTGTGCTTCTTCTGGGCGTGGGGCAGTGTGCACTATCTTTGTAGGCATGGAAGATGTATACCATGCTACAAGAAGATTCTCCTCCAGACTACGCCGATGGTCAATGGGCACATAAGGATAAACAACTGAACTTCGAGCATATGAGGGAAACTCTAAAGGGTCAGTGAACTCAACAAAATGATGGTTGATTCGCTCCCTTAAATCAGGAGTCTCAGGTACTGACTAATTTGTCCAGTCAGAACTTCCAGCAGAGCCAGAAGAGGAAGCAACTGCAGCATTATCCCATACAGAAATTTGCGAAGAAGAGTTGTTCAAATCCATATTTGTAATTTTACGAATCAGAGGTTTGAGAGCAGATTGTTCGAACTGTAAAGGTAGGCCAGAAGGGAAAATTCTTATGTCTTTGATTTTAGCCTTCCGAAGCGAAGGATTAAGAGCAATATGTTCGTAATCCAAAGGTCGGTAATCTGCAAAGGCGTCCATGACCTGAATATAGAAAGGTGGGTAAAGGTGGCTAATAAATGTATGCTTTCGATGAGGAATAGCATCGACATATGACTCTTCGTATGCCTCATCATTGGAAGAAAGAATTAATTTGGCCATGAAATGTATCAGTCTGTTCGAATAATAAGACAGTGAAAGTGCTTAAGGATCAAGATGAGATTATTAATACAGATGGTGTGTGACAGTTGCATTTCTGGGAAGATGCAAAACCCATGCACGTTCTAAGACGTGGGAAAAGGGACTCTGATCCACTAATATCACCAAGTCTTGGGTATATTAGTGCGGGGGGTAATGTTGGCTACACATTTTGTACTAAGCCAGTAACAATCCAATGCGTGGCAAAGTGAGGGTAATATGGGGAGACCAGGTAGGTCTTCGATCTTGACCATACACGTGGCAATTAATATTGGTTGTTATAAGATCTGAGTAGTAGCAGATCAACAAAGAGACGTACAGTGACGTGGCTTCAACGGTTGCTCACATTTCAAATTCAAATATAAGGGGGAAGCCTAACTGCAAGTGAAGGCGTAGTGACACTACTTATAAGGTAGCATGATCAGCAACTACGGAGGGGCAGTTCGACGGTTTGAAGTACAATTCGATGGTTATCTTCGGAGAGTATAAATAGCAGGAAGGACTTCAGAGAAGGGGACGGAGAAAAATCTAAAGAATCACTTTACATATTCCAGTGTTATTTCCTGTCCTTTATATTCCTGTATTTTTAGTTTCTGCGCTGCACTTCATTTGTAGGAGTAGTTGTCAAGTACATTGCCGCTGTAATTCTCTACGGAACTGAGATCATTGTAAGTTCTTTTTATACTAATGAAATACTCCAGTTTAGTTAACTGTTCTTATGCTCAGATTTTCTGAAGTTTACTTACCAGTAAGCCACCAGTAAAATTCCTCTTTATTGAGGCCGAAAGAACCATAACACAATCGTCTGAATAATTGTTTGGCAATTCTGTAAGGATTCCTTGCTATTCTTTTTGTTAGGGTGTCTTTGGGGCCCCGACGTACTGGTCTACAAATCGGGAATTTATCTCAAGTACGAATCTAACTTGTGGTTGGTGGCGGTGTCTTTCCCCTAGGATTGAGTTGCTTTGGTTTCGACTCCTTCTTAATTTCGGGAATCCATTCCAAGTATGGATCTAGGTTTAAGTTAGGGGTGGTATTTTCGTTGATGGTTGGATTGCCTTTTGTTTCAATTCTTTTCTAATTTCGGGGATAAAATTTCTTAAGGTGGAGAGATTGTAGTACTCCAGAAAATTTCTTTTTCTTTCTCATCGCTCGAGCGATGGATTAATTGCTCGAACGGTCTTGCGAAGCTTCTAGTACTTTTGCAGGTCTGAGATTTTGGGAGATATTAATATTCGTTCGAACGCAGGGCTGGTCGCTTGAGCGGTCTATTCGGGATCAACATATTTAAAAGTTATTTTTGGTCCATTTTTCTTCATTTTCTCATATTGATTCTCTCCGACTTCCGCCAAAGTTGAGTTCCAAGCTCTCAAAAGCTTGGATTTCATCTCTTTACAGTAAAATTCTCACCCATGTTCCTTATATAGAAACGAAGAGCATGGCAAGGGTTTCCTATCAATCCGAGCGAATCGTGTTTTCATCGACGTTGAAATTTCAGGGTTCTTCTTCTTCTTGCTAGAGGTAGGGATTTCCTTACTTATGTTCAATATTTTCTTATAGATAGATGAGTGGTATGTTTGTATTGCATAAAAACCTCAAGTTGAGATTTTTTTTAAAAACATATAGAAGGAGTAAGGGTTTTCCAAATCAAGGGAGTTAACTCTATGATTTATGGGATTTGAGGAATTTTGGATAATTGGAATTTGATTTTGCACATTAAAGTAAAAAGCCCTAATTTTTGTCAAACCGTACTTATGAATTTTATCTTTAAAATGATGAATTGTTTCTATTGGCTTTGAATTCTTGAAATTTAGTTTATGATTGGTTAAGATGAGTATAAATGATGATAATTAAATGTTGTGAAAGTGATTATGGTTTATGAGGGTTATGTTGGAGAAAATGGTAATGGAACTTGAGTAAATGAAATTTGGAAAGTGTATGATATTAATTGGGATGTATAAATTGAATAAAAATGGATTGATGTTGAGAAGTAAAGAATATTGTGGAAAACAAATCGTAATTATTTTTAAAGATAAATCTTTATGCTTGTTATGTGATGTGTTGTTGGGTTAATGTATAACGGAAACAATGAATGATGTGGTTGGTTTAATCTATGAGTTGCAATAATAAATGACATGATGTATTGGTAGAATGTGATATTGGAATAAGGATCCATTTCCTTCCATTTTGTGACTGGTAAAGCATAGCTGTTGGCTACACATTTTGTACTAAGCCAGTAACAATCCAACGCGTGGCAAAGTGAGGGTAATATGGGGAGACCAGGTAGGTCTTCGATCCTGACCATACACGTGGCAATTAATATTGGTTGTTATAAGATCCGAGTAGTAGCAGATCAACAAAGAGACGTACAGTGACGTGGCTTCAACGGTTGCTCACATTTCAAATTCAAATATAAGGGGGAAGCCTAACTGCAAGTGAAGGCGTAGTGGGACTACTTATAAGGTAGCATGATCAGCAACTACGGAGGAGCAGTTCGACGGTTTGAAGTACAATTCGATGGTTATCTTCGGAGAGTATAAATAGCAGGAAGGACTTCAGACAGCCCTTCTTCTTCATCATCATCATCATCAAGGTCCTCATCGGAATCGGAATCCGCTGCATCAGCATCGGCATCCGCATCGGCACCCCAAGATCAAGAATTAGGGTTTAGGATCGATCTTGATTGGACGGCTGGTGATGATGAAGATCAGGTGGCTTTGAGGCTGCAATCGCAGATAATGGTAGCTCTGCCAATGCCTCAGGACTCGGTGGTCGTGGAATTGAAGGCGGGGAAGGAGGTTGAAGGCAATGTGGGTGTGGATATGAAGGTTTTGAAGCGGAGAGAGCCGCTTAGGGCAGTGAGGTTGATGAGGGTTGGGGGTTCTGGGCAGCAGAGTGAAGGAATTGGAGTGCTTACGAGGCTGTTGAAGTCAAATTTTGTGCCGCCGGGGGCAGCGGCAGGGACTTCTTTGTCTGGGAGTGGTGGAGATGGGGTGGTGGGTTTTGCTAATCATTGGATGAGTGTTGTTGTGGTAAACCTCAATGGTTGTGGATTGTCGGTGAGTTTTTTCTTTGAATTCTATGACTTGTTTTTATATTGGATTTCTTTCTGTTTTGTTCAGGAAACCAAAGAAAATCAAGATTTTGAATGTGATAACGGTTGGTGTTTCTATTTGAAGAAAAAATAAAATTGAAGCTTAAATTGTTGGGTTTGGCTTGGTTTAGTGGTAATTTTGAGAATGAGAGAAACTGGGTAATGCTCGGCTTGAGAGAACAGATCTGAGTTCAAGTTTGAGAGCAGATGTCTAATTTTAGAAGAAAACTATATCTGGAATTTTTCATTTACCCTAATGAGTAAAAAATGAATCCATCAGAGTGAAATAGGAAACTGAATATTGCATAAAGTTGAAGGCTTGATATGAACAGAAAAAATATAAAATAAGTTTAAATATTATTCAATCCCACTAAAGAATTCAGTATTAGATAAAAATTGGTGCTATGCGTTTTTATTTATTTATTATTGTTATTTTTTCTTTATGCATCTTATTTCACTTCATTTAAGATATACTGAACACTGAAAATACTTAGATTTGAAATTATTGATTTGGTTCATTTCGAAATATCCGAGTGATAAAATTTCAGTTTTTCTTGATTTGATGTGAAAGTTTATGCTTATTTGTTCTTGTGAACGCCAAAAAAAGAGAATGATTTTTTTTAGTAGTTTCTGTTCCTATTATGATTTGAATGGATGCCTAAGCTGTGATGTTGTTTATATCACACTCAATTATGTAGATTTTCAATTAAGTTAATCAACAAGGAATAACCTCTTAAAAATGACTTTTGCAGTCTTTAATCTGAACTTTTGGGTAGTTGTTGACATTAAGTTGGTTAAGTGGAAAGAGAGCAAGTCTAGCTATTCTGAAAGGGAAGCAACAATGGGTTGGATTTCAAACCATGGCTTGTAGTGGGGTTTTAATGACATCTAGTCAGGGGAAATTGTGATGAAGTTTAAAATAAATGAGAGGTCAATGAAGAAATGCTACTAGTCCAATTCTTGAGAAATTTAAAAATGTATTTCCTTTGAGGTATTCTATCAATTGGAATAACCTTTTTATAGTTGATTACTGCACACTTGTCAGGTATTGCCAGTAGAGTTAACTCAGCTGCCACTTCTTGAGAAGCTATACCTTGATAACAACAAGCTTTCAGTTTTGCCATCTGAGCTAGGCAATCTGAAAAAGTTAAAAGTTCTCAGGGTTGACAACAATATGCTGGTTTCAGTACCTGGTAAGCTTACAGTTGTGTGTGTTTTTTTAATGGCATTGTCCTTTTATTTTACACCCACATATATATTTGTTTATGGTCCAATAAAATGAACCAAAGAAAAAGAAAGAAAAAAAAACCCTCTAAGTCTGGAGGTCTAGGGCATGTGTATTACTTATTCCTTTTGCTTGTCTTTGCTGGAAACTGTAATCAGTTGAATTGAGACAATGCATTGGACTCGAGGAATTATCATTGGAGCACAACAAGCTTGTCCGACCTCTTCTTGATTTCAGGTCATTTCATGAGCAATTAATGACCTTGATTAGCCTATGTATTTTATTTTTTAGTGAACTTTTTAGTATCTCCTATTTTCTCTAGGTCTAATATTTGTCTTCAGTTTAACTGCAGGGCTATGTCCGAGTTACGTGTTCTTAGACTGTTTGGTAATCCCCTTGAATTCCTTCCTGAAATTTTGCCATTACACAAACTTCGCCACTTGTCTCTGGCGAACATCAGAATAGTAGCTGATGAAAATCTAAGATCAGTGAATGTGCAGATAGAGGTATCGAAGGATGCTGAAATGCTTGTAAAATTTATAGACCACTTTAGGTCTGTCAAATTAAAATACGTTTTTATTGACATATGGGGTCATGGCAGATGGAGAACAGTTCTTACTTTGGTGCATCTCGACACAAACTGAGCGCCTTCTTCTCTCTTATATTTCGTTTTTCTTCTTGCCATCACCCACTCATAGCATCTGCTCTTGCGAAGATAATCCAAGACCAAGGAAACCGTGTATTTGTTGGCAAAGACGAGAATGCTGTCCGGCAGCTCATAAGTATGATAAGTAGTGATAATCGCCATGTGGTAAGTCAGCTGATTGTAGTTTTATCAGCTGGATATCCTGCTCTCTTAATTTCTGTTCAGCACTTCGTCTAAATTTCTCTTCTTTTTCTCAGGTTGAACAAGCATGCTCGGCTCTTTCATCTCTTGCTGCTGATGTTTCTGTGGCAATGCAGTTGATGAAATCAGACATCATGCAACCAATTGGGATTGTGTTGAAATCCGTTGGCCCTGAAGAACTAATTTCTATGTTGCAAGTTGTTGTCAACTTGGCTTTTGCATCTGATACTGTGGCTCAAAAGATGTTGACCAAGGATTTACTGAAATCATTGAAATTGTTATGTGCCCATAAAAACCCAGAGGCAAGTCCACTGACTTCGAAGTTAAAATCATTATTTTCTTGTTTCTGTTGCTTGCCGTCAACAACTTGCAAGTCCACTTACTTCGAAGTTAAAATTTATTTTCTTGTTTCTGTTGCTTGCCGTCATGTTGCTTGGTCATTTAATATGACGGTTTATCTTTCATTAGGTCCAAAGGTTAGCTTTAGTAGCAGTTGGAAATCTAGCCTTTTGCTTGGAGAACCGTCGTACACTTGCTACTTCTGAAAGTTTGCGGGAACTTCTTTTACGGCTGACAGTTGCATCTGAGCCACGTGTCAATAAAGCTGCTGCTCGTGCTTTGGCAATTCTTGGTTTGTTCCTATATCTGTTAATTTCTGCATCTAGACTTTCATTTTGCCCTAACCTGATAAGGCCTATCTTATGCCACAACAGGAGAGAATGAGATTCTGCGGCGCGCCATTAGAGGGAGACCTGTTCCAAGGCAAGGATTGCGTATACTTTCGATGGATGGGGGTGGTATGAAAGGTATGGCAACTGTACAGATGTTAAAAGAAATCGAGAAAGGAACTGGGAAACAGATACATGAGGTCTTTGACCTTATATGTGGCACATCAACGGGTGGTATGCTTGCTGTTGCTCTTGCAATCAAACTAATGTCCCTGGAAAAATGTGAAGAAATATACAAAAATCTCGGTGGGTATGCTGCACTAGGGATGAGCATTTCAAATTTTTTATGATTTCTTCAGTAATTTCATTTCTTTTTGCTGATGTAACTCTTCAGGAAAACTTGTCTTTGCTGACCCTGTGCCGAAGGATAACGAAGCAGCAACTTGGAGAGAGAAGTTGGACCAGCTTTACAAAAGCTCATCGCAAAATTTTAGAGTTGTTGTACATGGATCTAAAGTATGAAAATCTTTTCTTTCCCTATTTTGTTATTTTTTGATTCTTTCATGGATGTCAATTTCTGGAAATTCAGGATAATTTTGCTGTTAAAGTATAAAAACTTAATTTCTCTGAAAAAAATGTATCTTTTACAAAATTTACTATGCTATTATAAAAAGTTTCAATAATGCTTGAGACCACTAAAAGTGGTGCTCTAAAAGCACCACTAGTGATGTGGCAGTGGACGGGACCCACTGCTTGTGTCTTGTGTTTTTTTTTTGTTTTTTGTTAAAGTGCTTGCCAACTCATTAGTGGTGCTTTAGAGCACCACTTTTAGTGGGATGTATCATTACCCAAAAAGTTTTTAATGTGTAAGCAGATATGATTTACATTTGCTGAAGAAACTTTATTTGTTAACATGGGTGGTGTTGTGTTTTTGTTTTTTCGTTCTTTTATTTTAATTACTTCTCTTGGACTAATTAACCAATGGTCCCTGATGAATGTGTTTGTTGCACTTCAGTCCCCAATCTTTTAATTTTGTTAATTTAGTTCTCAAACCACTAAATTTGAGTGGAAATGGTCCACAGTCCTCACACCTTCCAAATTGATTAACTGAAAATGGAGTATTTTTGTAATTTTACATGAAGACTCAAGAAACCAAAAGTACCAAATACACATGGTCCCCAAAGTATCACTTTGTGGCATTTTAGTCCCAAAGCATACACTTTGTTGCATTTTGGTCCCAATCATAGTTGTCAATTCCGCACCGTACTGGCCGGTATGTACCATACTAGAGAAAAAAATGGAGTACAAATAAGCCAATACTGTTCTGGTTAATTTCTCGTTGAGTACTGGCCAATTTTGTAAATACCCGACAATACTAGCCAGAAAATATAATTCCGGCGGAGTTGAACAGTACCCAAGCAAAGTGAATTTGTGATTTTTTTTGTTTTATGTTATATCTATATAATAAAGCAGGACGATTTTTGAATCTTCAACATATTTTTGTCCTATTAGGACATTTGAATGGCTCAAATCTGTTTAAATTATAAAATAATTGTTTGAGATATATTTTTCAAAAAATGTCCTACATGTACATTTTCTACTTTCCCGCTTCTCTCTCTTTCTTTTTTCTTTTTTCTTTTTTCTTTTCTCACCCATCATTCCATGATCCAATGATCCCACCTTCCTCTCTTTTTTCTTTTTATTTTTTTTATTTTCGCCCATTTTTGTTTTTCTCTCTATTTGTTTATTCTTTTATTTTCTCCTTTTTGTTTAATATATTTTACGCATATTTCCATACAATATATGTATGCCCGTAATACACTAGGACAATACGAGCATACATACAATTTCTATATAATTATATAAGCAAAAGCATTATTGTATGTATGCCAGGCACATCTATCTATCTAGCTATATATTGTATAAGCAAAAGCGAGTTTTCGTTGGGAGTTTTGTAAGAACTCCAAAATTTTATAATAAATTTGTGAATTTATCAAATTAAAAAATAAATTTAAATAGTATTGGGATTACAATTATATTATAATCCTAACATTATTTATACTGTTAAAACCTACCATCACCTACTCCACCTACTACACCTACCACCACCTACTACTCAGCACAACGCAGACTTCTTCAGAGGTTTCTCTCAGTTTCTTGTCTGAGCCTCTGCCTCGGCCTCAGCTCCGTCTTGGTTAAATAGCCGAGGCAGCCACGCGCATCGCGCGCCTCTTCTCGCCGACAAACTGGCACGCCTTTTCATGGCACGACTTTTGATGCATTCGGGCGCGCCTTTTGATGGCACGCCTTTTGAGGGTGCGGGCACACCTTTTGAGGGCACGACTTTTGAGGGCTCGATATATATCTACATGTATATTTTTTGGGCAGCCTATATACACACTCATACAGTGTCTTCTACACCGGTCAGCTTTATCAATCCCTTTGTTTCAACCTCAAATAGGTTTCTATCTTCACACCTATTTGAGTTTGAGGGGGGGTTATACACAGTATCATGTATAAGTCGCTCATGGCGCACTCCCTAAGTCGCCCCCTTGGTGCACCACCACAACTCTCTCTCTACACATACCTTGAAATTTCTTCGAGTCCACCACCTTCATGCCCAACTCCTTCGAGTCGCTGTCCTTGACTCACCCTGTCAACCCAAACCCACAATCGTCTCGATCAGCTTCATGCCACTGCCACAGTGACCAACGACACCACATATGAAGTAACGAGTCCTGGTGGCCTTGAGAGGAATGCTGGTGGACCCACTACTGAACGGCATAATCATCCTGCTCTTCTCTTGTTACTTTATGTTGTTCTGCACATAATTCAGCACAAACTCCCATTCCATAATCGTTATAAACATCCCACAATCCATCTTTCAACATACCATCAACAAGAGAATCATGTCCAAGTCGAGATCCCTTCCTTGCTTCCGCTAGGTATTTAGGGACATTGGACATGCTTTCCATGCCGCCAGCTACAACAACATCATTGATGCCCAACTGGATACTCTGTGCTGCAAGCATAGTTGCTTTCATCCCTGATGCACAAACTTTGTTAATGGTGGTACAAACCACTGAATTAGGTATTCCTGCACCTAATGCCGCTTGCCTAGCCGGAGCCTGCCCCAAATTGGCACTGAGGACGTTCCCAAAGAAAACTTCTTGGACAAGTGACGGATCAACATGAGCCCTTTTAAGAGCACTGCCAATAGCTATAGATCCGAGCTTAGTGGCTGGTAAAGATGAAAGAGAACCAAGAAATCCACCCATTGGTGTACGCGCAACACCCACAATACAAACATCTCTAGGCTTTACAGAATCTGCAGATGCTGTTGTTGCTGCTGGAGCCATGATGATATATGTAAATGAATATCTGAGAGAGAGTTGTGGTGGTGCACCAAGGGGGATGAAGCTATCTGCCACCGCTGTCTTTGATAAACCTACACGGATACCAATCCTTCTTCCTTTTCTTTTTTAATCACACCGATCCACCGCCCAACTTTTATTTTCATTATTATAAACCTTAGTTGGTCTCACTTCCCCCAATTTCAATACCCACTTTCTCTCTCCTCCTTTATTATGTGAGACTGATGATGGGGTAGCACAGCAGAGATGCTCCATTTTTTATCTATTTCTTTCCAAACCCAACACCCTCTCTCTCCACTTTATCACATGGGCTTGTCCCCTCTCTCTCCTCCGTTTGATTTCAAAATCAATTATTTTTATTTATTTTCTCAAAACCATTTTTAATCTCTTTCAAATATCCACTCTATAATAATATATCTTTTGCAGGGCACTACCCCCAACTTTATTTTGAAACATCCATGTTCCCTTCGTCATCCACCTCACACCGATCTTTTTCAAATAACCCATCCAAAAATATATATTTTTTTTCTCTATTTTTTATTTTATTTTATTTTTATTAAACAAAACAACACAAAATAACACCAAAACCATTCCACAAACTTGTCATTTCTTCATGCCGGGGATCAACCCCGATCAGAATTTTACACAAAAAAAAAAAAAAAAAAAAAAAAAAAAAAAAAAACAAAACAACCACATCCACTGGCGGGATTTTTCTTCTCTACTCTGCCGCCGGTCTCTTCTTCTTGCCTCCGTCCTGGGCGGCCCTTGCCGGTGCTGCCTCCGTGTTTCCCACGCCGCCGAGCACGCTCACTCCCCCCTGCTCCTCCACTGCAGCATATGGTGGACCTCCAAATCGGAACATCACGGTGGCCTTCCGCTTCAGCTCCTTGTTTTCCGCCTTTAGCACACTTATCTCTGCTCGCTCATCCTTATACATGCGTTGGAGCAAAGCCAGTTGGGCGTTTAACTGCTGCACCTCATTTGTCCTACTCTGAAGCCGGTGCGACAAGTTTGTGACCGCAGTCATGGTCTCTACACATGACTTCAGTGTATACTGATTGGCCTCAATATCAGTTTGCACCGCCATTTTTTGCTCCACAGACCGCATCGGAAAGTTCAACGGAGCAAAACTAGAGGTGCTTGGTTGAGGTTCACGGGCAACCGCACCGGTTATCTTTCTTGTGGACTCGTTGAGGTCGGGAAAGAGAGTGAGCAGACCACGGGAAGAAGAGGCCATGTTCTGGGTAGCTGAACGGGAAGAAGAGGCCATGTTTTTGGGTTGCTGAGCGTTTCAACGAAGCAGCGATTTTTGACTGGTACTTTCAGAGAAGGATTGGTTACAAAGTGTTTACAGAGTATTTCAGAATGCAAATGTTCGGCAGTTTCAGACTGGTTTGCACAGCCTCTGCCTCAACCTTGGTTAAATAGCCAAGGCAGACACGCGCATCATGCGCCGCTCGGCGCTCGACGACAACATGGGCGCGCCTTTTGATGGCACGCCTTTTGAAAGATTGGGCACACCTTTTGAGGGTGCCGGAAACCCAACCATGATTTCCCAACCAATTTTTTGTACCTTTATTCAGAGCATCAGAGGATGCAATATTGGGCTTCCATAACTCAAATTTGGTTCAACTTTCTCAACATAAAACTTGAGTTTTCCATCAATTTCATGGTTTATGGTTCCACTTTCTGGTAGAAATAATATGCAGCCAATATTAAAGCGTAGAAGATGCAACCTAACAAAATATACTGGCGTGCCATAAGAAATAAATAATCAGAAATACATCTGCAGAAAGAAATTTTAAATACCAGGTGGTGAGATAGTCTTGTCCAGAGCAGAAGGAATTGTCATCTCGATAATAGGTCTTCCTATCCCCCTTGAGTTTTTGTTTTTGTTAAAACCTACCATCACCTACTCCACCTACTACACCTACCACCACCTACTACCACCTACTACACACCTACCACTACCACCTACTACCACCTACTCCACTACATCTCCTATATAAGGAGCCCCTCACCATTTGTAATAATATAACAATATCAATATCAATCATAATACATACAATTTATTCTCTCTCTATTTCTCTTTATACATTGAATTTTAACATATACCGTGCCTTCAGATACAGGCATACGCTAGTATTTATATATCATGTCAAATATATTATATGATATAAATTGTTATCCTAAGAAAACAAAGCAATACAACCTTGAATACTTAAATTATATGCTTAATATATGTTTAAATTATTTTCTACTAGACAATATTTTTAATACATACCAACCAACCAACCAAGCCAAGCTTTAAGTCCCATCAAATGGGGTCGGCTATATGAATTATTCTTCTCCACGCGGCTCTATCAAAGGCCATATCATTAGTCAAATTAAGTAGATCTATATCTCTATTTACAACACTAGCCAGTGTTTAATCTAGGCCTATCCGGTCTCCTAATACTACCATCTACCGTCACTGTATCGCATCTCTTCACTACTGTGTCCGTTGGTCTCCGTTGAATATGGCCCAACCATCTCAATCGATTTTCTCTCAACTTATGTTCTATCGGTGCTACTTCGATCCATTCCTGAATACATTCATTCCTAATTCTGTCTTGTCTAATCTTACCACACATCCACCTTAGCATACTCATCTCAGCCACATTCATCTTATCTACATGTTGTTTCTTGGTTGCCCAACACTTCGTCTCATAATATTTTTATTACATATATAATATTTTTACTATAAATCCAAAACGGTACCCGGAAATATACCGGTACCAGTACATACCGTACCAATTGAAAAAATGGTACTTTGTCCGGTATGGGATTAACAAATTTGGTCCCAATATGTTAATTTTGTTAATTTTTTTTTTCTTTCTAAAGTTCCGAAAATACCCCGATTTCATTAATTAATTTAGATGGTGTGAGTGTTGGGGACTGTGGGTGTACCTATACCATACTTGTTATGTGATGAGTCCCATTTGTGCCATGTCATTGCCGTCTTGGTGTCATCATCTCCACTTGTTAGTTTTCCTGAGGCACCACAATGTCCCTAAGAAGACTAATTGGCGTTGTATTGCCTGAAAGGGGAACATAAACCACCAAATATGGTTGCTCAACTCACTAGCGCGCTCGTGGCCCTAGTGTGCTCGCTGCCCCAGTAGGCCAGAGCACCAAGTGATTTAGTCATATGAAGAGCCTGAGGCATGGGTTTGTTACAAAAATATGCATCCACTGCTCGGGATCATTGGAAGATTGTGGATTGGAGGCTAGGATCATGGGTTCCTAAGGTTTCTTAGCTGGGTCTCCAAGGGAAGACAACTCTACATTGCCTAATCTTAGAAGAGGGACATTTACCCAATACCTGACAAATTTGGAGAGGTATCACACCTACAACCTACAACCTACACCATGTCATGATACACCCTTTGAGATATTACACACCTATATCTGTGGCTCCCATGGTACAACCTTCAAGGTCTGAATTATAGGATGTAGCGATAGGCCTGATACCTCCGCTCTGTCGAACCAAGGAGAGCTGGCCACCTGTTAATAGATGAATTGTCCTCCAACAGTCTTGGAACCTATAAAAGGGAGTATCCATGCACATAGAACACAATCATAATCTAGGCTTATCATTTTCCATAGCTCCAGTGACTGAGGTCTCTTACTGCTTCCTTTTCTCTCTCTCTAAAGCTTCCTTGGTTATCTTGTCCGGCAATCTCTACCCATTGAAGTGCCCACCATCTTCCAAGAGGTTCACAACTGACCACCATACATTCGTAATACCTACAAGGTCCATTTTAATGCACTTTTTTGTAGTTTTATTTAGGCAATCAAATTGACAAAATCAAAAGATTTTGAGGACTAAAGTGCATACTTTGGGGACTGTTAGTGTAAGACATATTTGAGGACATGGAATGAAATAGTTATCCAAGTTTTCTTCCTCTCATAAGTAAAGTATCGCATTATACCCTGCAATAAGTGAAATGTTATTATTGATTTGTAGCACAGTGCTGATCAGTTTGAGAGATTGCTGAAGGAGCTGTGTGCTGATGAGGATGGTGATCTCTTGATAGAGTCGGCAGTGAAAAACATTCCCAAAGTTTTTATAGTATCAACTCTGGTCAGCATGGCGCCAGCTCAACCTTTTATATTCCGCAATTACCAGGTTAATACAAAGATTTCCTTTGTTGATTGACATGGACAGATTATCATTCTGTTAGTGGACGTTACTTTAGTTGTTGAAGCTTCGATGAATTATTTCTCTGTTTCAAAGTGTAGTACCCTGCTGGCACACCAGAGATACCTTTTGCAGTTTCAGAAGGTTCAGCAACTAGTGGCCTAGGAACCACTAATGCCAGTCCTCAGGTTGGATACAAACACAGTGCTTTTATGGGAAGTTGTAAGCATCGCATATGGAAAGCTATAAGAGCATCATCAGCAGCTCCATATTATCTTGATGATTTCTCTGATGGTACTCTCTTTCCGTTCTTTCTTGGACTACTCAGTTTTCTGATATACTGTTTCTTTCACATTGATTTGTAGTATGGTGTTTACCTGCCCCTTCTTTGTCCTAACAATTTTTTGACTTCCATTTTTCTGCAGATGCGTATCGGTGGCAAGATGGTGCTCTTGTAGCAAATAATCCTACCATATTTGCCATACAAGAAGCTCAACTATTATGGCCAGATACAAAAATTGACTGTTTAGTTTCCATTGGATGTGGTTCAGTTCCAACTAAGGTAACCATAGTTCTGTGAATTTCATTTTCAGTAGAGATGTATGTAAAGATTCTGAGTTATATATTGTTTATAAAAATAAAAATAAAAATTTGGTTTATATGTTTAAATTGTTTGGGATGTTCTTAAATAAGTGCATTTTTTGACTTTTTATGAAATATGGGTTAGGTATGGGTTGGGTTTGAAGTGATGTGGTAGAGAGGTGATGTGACTTAAATAAGATGTGACTTAAATGGGATAGTGACTTTTTGACTTTTTTAGGTTATGACAAACAAGGCCTTTTAAGTTGGCAGAATATTTTCAAAGTTTTGAAGAATACAACAAAAAGTTTTAATATGTTGCATGAATTTGCATTTACTTAAATTTGGGAATTCTTGCTGCTGAATGTTTTTATAAACAATATAAAAATCCTCTCTGGATTTTTTTTTCTTCAATGTATCTTGATCATCTGGTTGTTTAGAAAAGTAGAACTGATGGTGAAATTGTAAATTTTCTTCTTGTCGTATCTGAATCAAATGCATATTTTGGGAACTCGGGTAAAAGCTAGATTTTTGGCTTTTTGGCTTTTTTGTTTGGCAAAATTATTTTCAGCTACAAATATTGTATTGGTGTGGTTTATTTGTGCACGCTACACATTCCTTGTAATATAATTTAAGCGAAAAGATAAATGCTGTATAAACAAGATTAAATTATCTTGCAAGGAATGTGTAGTGTGCACATTTCTTAAAAGGCACTTTTCTTAAGCAAACCTTAGGGGGTGTATTTATAATTTACCCTTATATTAATTACAGGACAGATTTATCTGGTTCTTCTTGCCCACATTTCTTAAAAGGCACTTCGTATTAAAAGTTGATTTCTTTGTTGTGATGCAATTTTGTACATCTTTTTCATTGTTAATGTAGAGTTGTGCACTATTTTAGGTTCGGAGGGGTGGATGGCGTTATTTGGATACTGGTCAAGTGTTGATTGAGAGTGCGTGCACAGTGGACCGGGTGGAGGAAGCTTTAAGTGCATTGCTTCCAATGCTTCCTGAAATACATTATTTTCGTTTCAATCCAGGTTATTTATTTATTTATTTTTGTTTCTTGGGAATCATTGATGGTTTAGAGTCATGTGGTTCAACAAGTTCTTCAATTTGTTTGAAACCTCAAAAAAGAGTCCAGTTATCTTCGATTCTGATTTTCACGTTTTATCATTTATGTCAAAGAATGAATGTAGAAAGTGCTGAATGGCGATATCCATGTCCAAGTGGTTGAATTAGTGCCGCCTTATTTAACATTCTATATTCATTTGTATTTCAGTGGATGAACGGTGTGGTATGGAGATGGATGAGACTGATCCTACAGTCTGGCTGAAGTTAGAGGCTGCAACAGAGGAGTACATCCAAAACAACTCTTCTGCATTCAAGAGTGTTTGTGAAAGACTGCTGCAGAATCAGCATGATGAAAAGTGTTTGAATGCCAAGGCTACAAATGCTGCTATAGGTACCAGATTACTCTGTAGCTGCTTCTTATTGGTTTCAGATATTCTGTTAATTTGAACTTGAATATTTTTGGTCTTTGGTAGTGCTAAATGAGAAAAGCCCCTCTTTGGGTTGGAGACGTAATGTGTTACTTGTGGAAGCTTCTCATAGTCTTGATTCAGGAAGAGTTTTTCATCATGCTCGGTCACTAGAGACATTCTGTAGTCAAAATGGAATTAGATTGTCTCTTATGAATGGGATATCAGGAACTTTCAAGTCTGTACCTGGTAAAAAAGTCCCAACACCATTTTCATCACCTCTGTTCACTGGGAGCTTTCCATCAAGCCCACTTCTATACAGTCCCGATCTTGGTCCTCAGAGGATTGGTAGAATAGATTTGGTTCCACCTTTAAGCTTGGATGGACTTCAATCTGGAAAAACATTTTCTTCACCACCCGAGTCTCCCCCGGTACCCAGGCAGCTCTCTTTGCCTGTCAAATCATTGCATGAGAAATTACAGAATTCACCACAAGTTGGAATTGTACACTTGGCTTTGCAGAATGACACAAGTGGCTCAATATTAAGGTCGAATTTTCCCTCTCTTGTTCCTCGTCAATGTTGTTTTCATACTTTGTACTTGCTTCTAAGTTTGCTCTTTCTTACACTGTAGCTGGCAGAATGATGTGTTTGTGGTTGCTGAACCTGCGGGAGAACTTGCAGATAAGTTTGTACAGAGTGTAAAAGTTAGCTTGCTGTCAATGATGAGGGCCAGGCGGAGGAAGTTTACATCAGCCATTAACAACATATCAACTGTTGCTGAATTAGTAGCATGTAGGCCGCACTTCCAGATTGGATGCATTGTCCACCGGTATATTGGACGCCAAACACAAGTATGCTTCTTTGGCTCATGCCTGATTGGTCTGTTTGGTTTTAGCAACTAAGAACTACAAAATTACTTACACATTCTATTTTTTTTATAAAGGTTATGGAAGATGATCAGGAAATTGGGGCATTTATGTTCCGTAGAACAGTCCCTTCTATGCACTTTACTCCTGATGATGTTCGTTGGATGGTAAAGTTTTTGGATCCTAATTTTGATTTTCCATTTATCCTTATTACTCCTATAATCCATTAAGTCAACATATTATTTGCGGGGGCGGGATGTAATTTCTGAAACCTCAGGGGGGTATCTGTAATTTAGCCAAACCTCGAGGGGTGTATATGTAATTTGCCCTTTTTTTTATAAAGGTTATGGAAGATGATCAGGAAATTGGGGCATTTATGTTCCGTAGAACAGTCCCTTCTATGCACTTAACTCCTGATGATGTTCGTTGGATGGTAAAGTTTTTGGATCCTAATTTTGATTTTCCATTTATCCTTATTACTCCTATAATCCATTAAGTCAACATATTATTTGCTAAATATCTACAATTGCTTACCTTGGGCTTTTCTCTGATATGTTGTATTCAGCATCGAGATAATTATTTTGTGACTTGATTGAAATAAGTTGGTGTAGTTGGCCATTTGATGTACTCATGACTACTGCTTTCGACCCAAAATTAGAATTACAGGATAATTTTTTGAAAACTAAGCCATTAGTTACAATATGCTGTCAATATATTTGTTTTGTTACCAAGGGGTTGTGACATCAGCATTGTAACAGTACTCGATAATATCAAGTTCTTATATAACTCTTCTGGAGGATGATGTTTCCTGTCAGCTTCTGTGGCTTATGAATCAAACCCTTAGGAAAGTCAGAGATGCCCTAATCAGCTAAATGGAAAATCATGGGCAAAGTTAATCAAACTTGGGGCGGAGTAATTATTTCAACAGTATTGATAATTAGAATCCATCTCATCCATGATACCATTATTGAAAGTGGCCCTATTTACATAAAATTGTAACATCAGTGTAGTTTACGTTCTCAAGTTACTGCAGCTTTTTTTGGCAAGTGGAATTGTGGGAGAGATTGGCAAGTTACTGGACATATATATGTAATTATACGTATGTATAGCGAATGAACCCACATTGAAATAGAAGAAACTGTTACCAATTTATCATACTAACAAAAATAAATTAAATACAAATGATTACTGAGATGATGATAAGTAAGCCCCTAGGATGTAATTATGAAATGCCTCATCTAGTTCAGTGGGAATAATGAACGGACCAATATTTGTCATTTTCTCGTGTGGATTGTCCAAGAATTTGGAATGAAATGGATAGATGTTAAAACTGTACACTTCCTTGGCATCAAGACTCCTTGATTTTTATTTTTATTTTTCTTTGTTTTATTTTTTTCATTGGGGTCAATATTCTTTGCATGGTAACTCTGTTTGCAAGATTTCCATCAAACCCATTACTATCCTCATTATCATTTTGCAAATTTTCTCCCATCTGTTGATGTGACTAATACCTCGTATCTCTTTTAAACTCAGGTTGGAGCTTGGAGGGACAGGATCATAATCTGCACTGGTACATATGGGCCTACCCCGACTTTAATTAAGGCCCTTATAGACTCCGGTGCAAAAGCTTGTTTGTATGCCCTTCTGCTGAACCCCAAGAAATGGCAGTTAACAACACTTCGGTATGGCGACTTTAATGCTTTGGAGAACGGGAAGTTTGAGATTGGAGAGGAAGAAATGGAAGACGAGGAGGCAGAGCCTGCCAGTCCAGGGAGTGACTGGGAAGATAGCGAACCTGAGAAAAGCGGGGAGCACTCGATGGGATTTTGGGACAATGATGAAGAGGAATTGTCTCAGTTTGTCTGTCAATTGTATGATTCATTGTTTCGGGAAGGTGCAAGAGTAGATGTCGCCCTCCAACACGCTCTTGCCTCACATCGGAAGCTGAGGTACTCGTGCCATCTTCCCAGTATACCATAATTTTATTGAATAGCATTTATACAAGAATATACAAATTCAAACAAAAGAAAAGGAAAAGACAACAGAAGGAAATAGAGGAGATAATATAGATTTATGAGTGAAATAATCTGTGAGATAATAAGAGGGAACATTCAATTTTGAGGCTTACAAATTTATCTGTTGTTTGTCATCATAAATTCAATCAAGTGTTTTTTTGGGGGGAGTATATATATGTATCTGTAAGACCTGCTATATTGTATGGTAATATGGATGTTCGGCAAATAAGAAAAAAAATGTCAGAAAAATGAGAATATTGTGATGAGCAAGTGGTGCAACGGCTTTTTTTTTTTTTTTAATGATTTTATTTATTTATTTTTAACATCTAGCTAAGAACCAAGGGTCATGAATTGAATTTGTCGAGACCAGCGTTAATCATGAATTATATGGATTAACAAAGTTCTTTGATTTTCTTATACTATGGTATACCAAATCAATCTCTTATTCTGTGGTTATTCTAATTCTCAAACTAAATTTTATTCAAAGTCTCATAGTTGTGGATGCAATGGAATCATAATTAGCCATTCATTTTGTCAGTGCCACATTGCATTGCGATGGTTGCTTGACCATAAAAAAATGGCATAAAAGTGTGTTACACACAATAGTTCTAAGGTGATAAAGTTTCTGATGCTACTGTTGCTTTGGTACCAAGAGAGGCAAACCAGGAAGGAGGTACAATTATAGAGGAGAGGGTTGTTAAGCACATAAAGAAAGAAGTTTATTACGAGCGAATGAGGTTGGGTTGGGTTACACTAGGAGATGAGACTCCCTTATATAGACAAAGGAGACGGCTTCAAGACAAATACAGATGTCTATCATAGTATAATCCACAATTCATAGGACAATAATGTAGACACAAATAATACAATCATCGTATAGTGATAAAACATTATTTTTTATTTTTTATAACCGACATGAAAAAAATTGGAGGGGGCAGTGATATTGACGAAAATTTTCCGAGTCTAAACTGTTGAAATCATGGAGGATATTTCAATAGTAATTAGTAGGGTAAATTATGTAAATGGTCCTTATAGTTTATACGATGTGTCAATTTAGTTTATGTTATTTTAATTTGCTCGATTTTATCTTTTAATTTAACAGATTGTGTCATTTTAGTCTAATAAATAATGACTATTAAGTTTGGTAAACGGAAAATTTATATAATGTGTCAATTTGGTCCCTGTAGTTTACACAATGGGTCAATTTGGTCCTTCTTGTTTTAATTTGCTCAATTTTGACGGGGATCAAATTGACATATTATGTAAACTACGGGGACCAAATTAATACATAGTTTGATTTCCATCCACTAAACTTAACAATCGTTATTTGTTGGATTAAAATTACACAATTCGTTAAATTAAGACAAAATTAAGCAGATTGAAACAACATGAACTAAATTGAGATATCGTGTAAATTACATAGACTATGTGTATAATTTATCCTAATTATTAATATTGGAATGCCATTATTTCAACAATTGCCCTCTACAAATTTGAAGGTCAAGACTTTTCAACTTGAGCTGTCAAAATGGACCATAGTATTTGAGAAAATAAAGGTTTCTTTTTGGAAAGAAGGTTCAATTTGAAAAGTCTCACCTTCAAATTTGTGCCCAGATTGCAATAGAGTAGAGAGAGAGAGAGAGAGAGAGAGAGAGAGATACAATACCAAAGAAGTAACTGATATTAGGTTGACAAATGATGTAGCCTTGTAGGTAAGAAGTGAGATGATTAGGAATATATAAGATCATTGTGTATGATAAAAGCAGTGTTCTTTTATTTGCTTTTAATAATTAAAAGAGAGAAGAAAAGCTCAAGGAAAAATACTATTTTTTTTTATTAATAAATGTCAGTGATTAATTGTTAAATTAACATATTGGGAGAGTTAAAATTCACACTCACTCATACATTTTGTAAAAAAATTTGTTTTAAGAGTGGAGTTCGAGACCTCTCTTTAAGAAAAATTTGGTAACCAAAGAATAATTGAGGGTCATGACATGCAAATGGTGGACCATCCTATGCTCATGGGGTTTCAATTTTCACTTATCCCTTCTTCTCCTCCCAAAAAAAAAAAAAATTAATTTCTTTTTTATATAAAAATAAATCTTTATTAGTTTAGGTTTGTTTTTTTGGCAAATCAAATTTAAGCACTTGGATGGTTTGATTGATACTTTACGACCCCAAGACACAACATCAACTCGAGTGTAACCCTCCATTTGTGTCGATAAGAAATTTTTTTTTAAAAAAATTTATTAGGAGAAAAATTTTTCTTTGTTTAGTGGAGGGATGAAGGTGTTGGTGGCTATGGTGATGGTGATGTGTTGGTGGAGGTGATGATGGTAGTGAAAGTGTAGTAATATTGGTAAGATTTCAATCTGAAAATCATTTTCACCTTTTAAAAGTGAAATTTTTTTTTATTCAAATAACCTTGTTTTTTTATTGACCATGAAAAATAGTTTCTATTAACTTTCTTTTTTTCGTTGTACCAAATCTCTCAAAAATACAAGAAAATAATTTTTCCTCAAACAAACAGAGGGTAGGTAGAAAAATGTCTCTTCTTATAGAAGGGGTAGAAGACAAACATTTTCAGATGTAGGTATATGTAATTATCAACTAACTATAGTAACATTCATAGATGTCAACGTCTGTGTTTTGTATGTTTTTGGATTTGGTGTAGGTATCCATAGGCTAGGACTTCAGGCCACCGCTTTGTGATGGGTTTAGGTAGCTTTCTTTCTTGACACAATGAATGTTCTGCTCTTTTTTTTTTTTTTAAAAAAAAAAATTACATGTTTTTAAAACCCATGAAAAGTATTGAAAAAAAAAGGGATGATGTTATCTAAAAAGATAGGCAGATATTTAAAAAAGAAATTTTTTGAAAATAGTAACTAGACAGTAACATTAAGATAGACAGAATTATCTGATCGAAGTGTTAAAATAACTTTTCATAAGGTTCCTAATAATTTTTTTTTTGTTTTATGAAAGTATATTTAGTTCCTTCTTTTTCTTTTTCTTTTCCTTTTCCTTTTTCTTTTTCTTCAATATTTTTTTTTTGTGGTTCTTTTTCTTTTTCTTTTGATGGATCACTGCTCTATGAGACAACTCCTTTCTCTCATCTAACTGTTTGTTGAAAGGCGACATCATACCTAATGATGGTGCTCATTTGTTAGAATCCTGGCTCAATTTACATAATCTCAGGTCAATCAGCCTTTTTTTTTTTTGTCTTTTAATAAATTCTTTTTCTCTTTTTAGTTGATGGGATTCAAATAATAGCGGCGGCTTCGTAGTAGTTTTTTATATTATCACTTTAGGTCAGTCATATTTCGAAGATACTCCAATAGAATTAGACAGAGAATTAGGTTAAAAAATATTGAAGTCAATGGTCCTTCCTTTGTCACAAAATGGCATTAATTTAGATACTGGGGTTGATTTTGACTTTTCAACAAAAGACCCACCCCACCTCTCACTCCTCTGATGGCTTTTGGCTTAAGATATGTGCTTTAATACCAATATTAAATTGCATTGCTACTCATGTTTCCAATTAATAAGAACGAAGTATTTTAGGTTTAGTCCAAACTCCTCCAAAAGTAAACATTATCTTCAAACTAATCAAGTATTGTATAATCCATTAGAAGTATTTGAAAACTATCCAAGCCATGCTCTAGAAGTACAGGTCACGAGTTAGAATTTCATAATGCGCTCGACTCTTTTAAAATCACTGTTAAGATATGTATTCAGTAATTACTTGATATGTGTAGAATAAAATATTATATGTATATAAAAACTAGTTAAAATAAGAAGTCCAATACATTCGTTAAAAAAAATAATAAATAACGATTGAGGAAGAGAAATATCAATTGCAAACCACACAATGTGGATTGTATTCAATCTATTCCACCATCCCAGTTTAGAAATTTAGTAATAATGTAAAGCAAAACAAAGTAGTGAAGAAAGCAAGAACACCCAGGACCACCCACCTAAAAAGCACTCAATTTTGGTTCATCAAATTAAAAAAAAAATATACATCAATACTCTCTCTTCTGCCGCCCAAAGAAACAAAGTTCTTTGTGTGAATCAGTACACTTGACATAGTATACCGTGCCTCTCAAATATATATGGACATAAAGTACTAATTACACTTACTACCTACAAACGAGAGAGAGAGAGAGAGGCATCAAAAGTAGATGACAAGTTCAGTTTCTAGTGTCTCGGATTACCATCGTATTTAGATTTTTGGGTTTTTAACCAAATGGGCAATACTTCAAAGAGCATGATTACTTGTCATCATAATGAGTGAACAAACATGGCCAAACAATTACTCAAAACAAAATAATTTCAAAGAGGGTAAAAGGTTTTTTTCTCTCTCGCTTTTTTTTTTTTGTTGATAAATTACACTTTTAATTCATATACTTTAGTTGTTGTTTCATATTGAACAACTTTCATGTTGTTTCTCTCTCTCTCTCTTTTTTTTTTTTTTTGTTGATAAATTACATTTTTAATTCTTATACTTTAGTCGTCGTTTCAAATTGAACAACTTTAAGTCTAATTTCAAGTTAGTCCTTCCATTGAAATTAGAGGTTAAAATTATCAATTTTGGAATACTTATCAGTCTCTTGAAGCGTTCGCATAAAAAAAAAAATGGACTAACTTGTTTAATGTGAAACCATAGGGATTAAAGTGAAATTTGAATCAAACTAAGAGGTGAAAAGTCTAATTCACCCTTTATTTATTTTTATGTTTTTTGCAAACATGAGAGAATGATCACCCCCTCTCAATCCAAACCTCCAATTATGCAATATATCACGCTGTCCACTTTGAATAAAGCATGTCTACAAACACATCATTAAAATCCAAAAATAAAAATAGAAAGAATAAAGACTTTCTCCAAACTTGAAGCAATCCTCTTACCAAGATAAAGACATAAAACAACAAATTGAACAACTTTAAGTCTAATTTCAAGTTAGTTCTTCCATTGAAATTAGAGGTTAAAATTAACGATTTTGAATTCTCTTGAAGTGTTCGCATAAAAAAAAAAAAAATTGGACTAATTTGTTTAATTTGAAACAATAGGGATTGAAGTGAAATTTGAATCAGACTAAGAGCGAAAAAGTCTAATTCACCCTTTATTTATTTTTATGTTTTTTGCAAACATGAGAGAATGATCACCCCCTCTCAATCCAAACCTCCAATTATGCAATATATCACGCTGTCCACTTTGAATAAAGCATGTCTACAAACACATCATTAAAATCCAAAAATAAAAATAGAA